ATTTACCCAACATGAAATACCCTTAGACCGGTGCAGTTGAGAATACTATAAATATTATCATCAACAGGTAATAAACTATTTCTGTGTCTCACAAATATCTTGCCTTTCTATTTTTTCTCCCTGATTTTCTTTCCTATAGTCTTCCCTTCTCACACCCTCCATCCACACTGTCTTCAGTGCTCGTAACTATTTTCACTGGTTTTATGCTCTCCAATGTTTTCATCTTTCCCATAGAGTGTGGATGGTCGGTATATATAAAGTGGAGATATACATTAACTTTCTTTCATAACCTGGATTGCTTCACTCCACAATAAATCTGTGATATTTGATCATTTTCTATCAAATGTCATGGTCTTGCTGTTTCTTATTGTTGAATAATATGCCATAGAGTATGTGTGTCACACTTTTTCAATACATTTATATGTTTGTGGACATTTGAGTTGGTTCCATGTCTTAGCAGTTGTGAATAACACTGCAATAAACATCAATCTGCAAGCACTTTTCCTACAGCATTCTTCTGTCCTTTGACAACCCCAGGAGCAGGGTTGCTGGATCATATGGTAGTTCTATTTGTAGATCTTTGATGAACCTCCATATTGTTTTCCACAGTGGTTGGACCAATTTACATTTCCATCAACATGGTGGAAGAGTTTCCCTTTCACTATAATCCCAACACCTATTATTATTTTTTTTAATCTTCATTATTCTGACTGGTGTTAGGTGGTATCTCACTGTGGTTTTGATTTGCATTTCCTTTATGATGAGGGATGTTGAGCTTTTTGGCTATTTATTTAGAGAGTTTTTTGTTCGCTCATTTTCCCATCTTTTAATTGAGTTCATCTTTTTTTAGGGGGAGAGGAGGTAAGTCGCTTTATTTTCCCTTGTATTCTGGTTATCTGTCCCTTATCTGAGGCATAGTTTACAAAAATCTTCTCCAATTCTGAAGGCTGTCGATTCACACTCATTACTGTGTCCTTCAACATGCAGAAACTTCTTAACCTGATGTAATCTAAGTTATTTGGGGGATTATTGCCTGTGCTTTGAGAGTCTTAATTAAGAAGTCTTTGTCTTCCCCAATGTCTCCCAGAGTTTCCCCAGTGTTTTCCACCAGTAGTTTTATAGTTTGAGGTCTTAGGTTTAAGTATTGTATCCATTTTAAATTGATTTTTGTACTGGTGAAGGATGGGCATCCAATTTCATCTTTTTGCATGTGGATACCCAGTTTTTTCAGCATCATTTACTGAAAAGGTTTTCCTTTCCCCAATAGACTGACTAGAACCCTTTGTCAAAAATCAACTGGCTGTAAGCTTTGGAGTTTATTTCTGGAATCTCCTTTTCTATTCCATTGATGCACCTGTCCATTTCTGTGCCAATACCATTGTGTTTCGATTATTACAGTTTATTGTATATTTTGGGGTCAGGGAGTAATATGCCATCCACTCCACTCTTCTTGTGCAGGATGGCTTTGGCAATATAAAGTCTTTTATGATTCCAGACAAATTCTGTGATTGTCTTTTCTAGATCTGTGAAGAATGCCTCTGGTACTTTGACTGGAGTTGTGTTAAATATGTAGATTAATTTGGATAGAATTGCCATTTTGATTATGTTAATTCTTCTAATACAGGAACATAAGATGTCTTTCCACTAGTTTTGTGTAGTTTACAATATCTTTTTAAAGACTTTTATATTTTCTCTGTAAAGGTCTTTGACTTCCTTAGTTAGGTTTATCCCTAGATATCTTATACATTTTGTGGCTATGATAAAAGGGATTCCTTAATTCACTTCTACCATGGTCAACCTGTTCATGTATAGAAATGCTATAGATTTTTGTATGTTTATTTTGTATCATGCCACTTTACTGTATTAATTTACTACTTTGAGAAGTTTTTTCATAAAAACCTTTGGGTCTTCAAAGTATACCATTATGTTACCTATAATATATTTTCAACTCTTCTTTGCCTATTGGAATGCCTTTTACATTATTCTCTTTCTGATTGCTTTGGGTAAGACTTACAGCACTAAATTGAAAATGAGTTGAGAAAGTGGACAGCCTGTTCAGTACTAGCTTTTAGTAGCAAAGCTTTCAGCTTTTGTTCATTCAGTATAATGTTACCTATAGATTTTTTATATTTGGCTTTAACTGTGTTGATAAATGACCCTTCTATACCAAACCTTGTAAGGATCATAATCATGAAGGGATGTATTTTATTGAATGCTTTCTCTGCATCTATTGAAATGATCATATGGCTTTTATCTTTTGTTTTGTTAATATGGTGTATTATGTTTAAGGTCTTGTGTATATTGAGCCACACTTGTATCCCTGTAGTAAAGCCTACCTGTTTGTGATGTAAAATCTTTTTCATATGTTGTTAGATATGATTTGCAAGTATCATTTTGAGAATTGAAGCTGATGGAAGCTTCATAAAATGAAATTGGGAGGTTTCCTCCCTTTTGGATCTTTAGAAATAATTTGAGTAGAATGGGGGTTACCTTTCCTTTAAAAGTTTTGAACATTCAGAAGTAAAGTCATTGCAGTCTGGGCTTTTCTTTGTTGGGAGATTATTTATTTTTTATTCAATCTCATGGCTTGTTTTGAGTTTTTTTCAGGCAGTATATGTCCTCCTGATTCAACATTGGTAGATTATATTTGTCCAGGAATGTATTCATCTCCTCCATTATCTCTTGTTTATTGGTGTATAGTCTTTTATAGTATCCTCTATCGATGTTTTGTATTTCTATTGTGTCTGTTTTAATATTGCCTGTTTCATTGTGCATTTAATTTACCTGTTTTCTTCCTTTCTTCTTAGTCAGTCTACCTTATGGTATGTTGATTTTGTTAATCTATTCAAAGAACCAGACTTTGCTTTTATTTATTTTCTGTATAGTTCATTTATTTTTTATTTTACTTATTTCTGCTCAAATCTCTATTATTTCTATTCTCCAGGCATTTTTTTTTTTGTTTCTTTGTTTTGTGTTTGCAATTCCTCGAGGCATGATGTTACGTTGTCTGTTTGCTGCCTTTCCATCTTTTATTTTTATACACACTAATTGCTACAAATTTGCTTCTTATGATGGCTTTTGCAGTGTCCTATAGATTATGGAAACTTCTTTACTCATTATCATTTGTTTCCATAAATCTTTAAATCTCAGATTCAATTTCTTTGGTAGTTGAAGTCATTCAGAGGTAGGTTGTTTAGTTTTCATTTGTTTGTGTATTTTTTGAGGATTTTCCCTGAAATTGTTATGAACTTCAGTTCCATCAGGGTCAGAGAAGATTCTGGATATATTTTCTATATCCTTAAATTTTCAAAGACTTGATTTATGCACTTTAATATGGTCAATCTTGGAAAAAGTTATATGCGGTGGTGAGAAAAATGTATATTTTGTTGCCTTAGGGTGGGAAGTTCTATAGATATCTGTTAAGTCCATTTGATTTATAGTATTGTTTAGGTCTGGTATTCTCTGGTTATTTTTTGTCTAGAATATTTGTCTAAAGGAGATAATGGGGTGTTGAGATCCTCAGTGATTATAGTGTTGCAACCTATCTCTTCTTTTAGCTCTAGCAGTCTTTCTGTCACATAGTTATGTGCTCCTGAGTTGGAAAGTTTTCTTCCAGGATTTCATGGAATTAATTTTCAATGCTCTGATAATTGTCTTCACTTTCCGGGATATCAATTATCCAGATGTTTGAGTGCTTAATGGTATCTAGTATTTCTTGTATATTGCCTTCGTTTTTCTTTTTTGTTTCCTCAGTCGTTTTGATTTTTTTCCCTAGGTGGGTTTGTCCTCTACATTAGAAATTCAATCTTTGGTGTGATATAATCTCCTTTTAATACTTTTAAGGGGGGTTTTAATTTCCTGTATCACAGTCATTATCTCTAGCAATTCCATTTCATTCTTTTTATGGTCTATTTTTTCTTTCAAATAGTGAAAGGACTTCCTCTTCCTAGAGAACATGTTGTCTCTTTGCTCTTGCATCTCATTTAGTTTTGTCACTATAAATATTCTGAATTATTTATCTAAAAATTCCACAAGTTCCATTGTGTTGTCTGTGGATGATGAGGAATTGATGTTTTCCTTAGGGGAGAGATATTTTGTTGGTTGCTCACAATTCTTGTACCTCTGCAATGATTTCTAGTTATCTGGTGATTTATATGTTTCTTCCTAAATTCTTCAAGTTAATTCTGAGGTGCAAAGACAAAGGTGTGCAAGAGTAGGTAATTGGTGACCTCTCTGCTGCTCTACCTCCCTGGGAGTAGGTAATTGGTGCTCTACCTCCCTGATGCTCACTATCCACCTGCACTCTTGTCACTGGTCTTGGATGATTCAAAGTCTTCCTTGTTTCTAGAGAACAGGTGTGACTGAGACTGAACTGCTAAGCTTTAATTCAGAAACATAGAGAGGATCACAAGGAATACATAAGAAAATGCTTAAGTCTTAGAATTCAGAGGCATATGGTAGAGAATAAGCCACATTCTTTTTGCAGCTCTACCTGCATAAGAACAGATGTCTGGATGGGGTGGGGAGGGGCACAAGGTCATTTCATCCCAAGCAACACACTGGAGATTCTGAAGGTTAAGTGGGGGAAGAGAATGAGCCTCAGGTTCTGCCACACGTTCTTCCAGACATGGGCAGCTTGTTGTATGACGAAGTCTCTTCCTGGAATGGGTTTACCCTTTTTAAAAGTGTGTATACAGTGTGTAATAATAAAATCAAGTATATAAACATATCACCCTCAACATTTAGCATTACATTATGTTGTGTACGTTTCAGAGTCTTTCTACTAGACTTTTTTCTTTTTTAAAATAATCATTAAACTTTATTTATCATTATTATTTTTGTTATTTAATTTTAACAGAGAGAGACAGAGAGAAGCAAAGTGTAAAGGAAGCCATCAGGTCTGAGACTCAAGTTGTGTTCAGTCATGTGGGAGTTCAGCATCTATAGCCCCTATGCCATCTGCCAGCCCCGATTTTTTTCTTTTACCTTATTATAATTTCTTATTCTCCTATGTTCTGATATATTTGCACCAGCCTCTTGAAAGCCCCTTTTACATCTTTGTTTCTCAGAGTGTAAATGAGGGGATTTAGGGTAGGAGTTACTACAGTATACAGAAGAGTTATGTACTTTCCTTGATTGTGGGCATAAGAGTTGTTTGGATGTATATAGACAGCTGTGATGGTCCCATAGAAAAGGGATACTACCAACAGGTGGGACCCACAAGTTCCTAGAGCTTTTTGCCAGGCTTGAGCAGACCTGATCTTTATCACTGCTTTTAAAATATATCCATATGAAACCAAGATGAGGGCCAGGGGGAGGAGGAGCAGTACCAAGGAAGCTATGAAGAGTTGGACCTCATTAGCATGAATGTCTACACAGGCCAACTTGATCATAGCAGGCACCTCACAGATAAAGTGGTAAATTTTATGGTTCCCACAACGTGGCAGCCTGAGAGTAATGGTGCCCTGAATTAGGGTGTTGCCTACTCCACTCAGCCATGCTATTGCTGCAAGATACTGGCAAAATCGTGGGTGCATAACTGTGGCATAATGGAGGGGTTGGCAAACAGCAGCATAACGATCAAATGCCATGACAGCTAAAAGAACACATTCAGTGGATCCTAGTGCCAAAGACACATAAAGCTGAATGGCACAGCCTACAGGAGTAATTGTCTTGGCTGCATCATGGAGGTTCCACAGAAATTGAGGAACAATACTAGTGGTAAAGCAGAGGTCAACAAAGGAGAGATTGGTAAGAAAATAATACATGGGTGTGTGGAGAATAGGATCCAAACAAGAGACTAGGATGATTGCTGTATTGCCTATCAGTGTTAGGAGGTAAGAGATTAGCACAACCACAAAGAGGATTTTCTCAAACTGTGGCTGATCAGAGAAGCCCACCAATATAAAATCATCTCCCAAACTCTCATTAATCATCTTACTTATCCTACCCATGAAAAGAAGTATACAAATATAGGTGTTAAATAATGGGAAGCAATTAAAATCAGAAATACATATGAGAAAAATTAACCCTCAAGATGCAGGTTGGGCAGAGAGAGAGAGATTTTTATGTTTCCAGGAAGAAAGTAAAAGTATAAAGAACTTACAGAAAACTTGTAGATTTGGTAATAGGCCAAACAAGAAGTGATCAATAATTGATGATTACCTCTATTATCTGCAGTTCTCTTCATACCTTCCAATATTTCAGTTTCTGCCTTAGAGTGCATTTATGCTGGGAAAATTCATTTTATGTGCTGTAATGATATAACGTGATTTAATGTAAATAAATTAATTAAATAATTAATGATTGCTCCATTTTTCCAAATTGTTTCATTTCTCCTCAGAATCAGCCTTCTTCTTTATCAACAGCATCCTATGAGATGATAAGTAAAAGAAAAAAGAGAGGTGATGTTATTCAATGACTAGCTCCTTTGTAGCTATTCTACCAATTGTAAGTAATAAAAGTAGCTAACACAGCTCAGATATTCTTGAAAATAAATCTTATCTGATGATTTCAATGCCCTGACACATGTTCGTCAATATCATTCTAAGTGTAGAATGTAAAATGTCTGAACATTATGTTTTTATTACTTGATAGATACTGTCTACATATTAAATGGCTTTCATTCAAGAGTTTTGTAACATAAAAATAGGCAACCTCATTTATTATATTAGAATTTATAGAGAGAAGCACTACTGGAAGTTGTAAATAATTTTTAGTGCCTTATCAAAAACAAAAAGTAAACAAACATTCCTATAAAAAGATGGGCAAATGAGCTAAATAGAAAATATGAATAGCCAAAAAGCATATGAAAAAACTGCTCAACATTCCTTATTATTAGGAAGATGCAAATCAAAACCACAATGAGATACCACCTAGTCCTAGTCAGAATAGCTAAGATAAAAATAAAAAAAAAATTTAAAAAGAAGGAAAAATGATGAGTGCTGGCAAGGCTGTGGTAAAAAGGAAACACTTTTACACTCTTGGTAGGAACATAAATTAGTACATCCACTGTGGAGAACAATATAGAGGTTTCTCAAAAACTTACAAATAGAACTACCATATGATCCAGTTATTCCACTACTGTGTATCAATCCAAAGAATAGGAATACACTCAGTCAGAAAAACATTTGCACTTCTACATTTCCTGTAGCATTACAATTGCTAAGACAAATGAATGAAACCAACTCAAATGTTCATGAACAGATGAATAGATTGAAAAATTATGGTACATATACACTATGGGATGCTACTCAGTCAAAAAAAAAAAAGAGACCTGGACAGTTTATAGAAAGTGGATGAATATGGGATATTTTTTACATTGAATTTTAATTTTTTTAGATTCAGTTATTGTGCATAATTACATCATACCAAATAAATTTTTTCCATCATTAATGTTTATTGCTTCAGTCAAAGAAGTGAAGCAAACCAAACTATGAAAGAGAGGCATAATATGTCCCACTTAATATATACCAAATGCACTGTATGACCAACTGAAAGACTGAATGATATTAAAAACATGAAGAACAACTGTGGATACTAGAGGCAGTATTGGAAGAGAGTGAGAAGTGGGAGAGTGTGAGAGGAAGGGAATCAAGGAGGAAAAGCAAAATATTTAAGGGACAGAAAAATGGAAAATTATCTGCTACTGATAATGTGTATGGAAATAACTTTGACTAAACTAACATACAGTTTACTCATGCTAGGAAAATTCATTTTGTATGTTGTAATGATGTACAGTGATTAAATGTAAAAAGAAACAAAAAGATTTAAATTAGCAACAAGTGAAATATTTATTCTCCTTTAAATAAATGTTTTCAGACTCTAAAAAAGTAAATAAATAAGTAAACTGACCTCTACATTGCAGAATAGATCAGCATGCATTAAACTGAGATGTGAAAGTTAGTAAGCTTTTACAACACTCTAGGAAAGGGATGGTTTGGAAGTATCAGGAAAGATATATAATTTCAGAAGACTCTTGTATATTAGAATCAACACGACAAAATTGACTAGACTCTGAGAGGTAAAAAGAAATTAATGATGGCTCACAGGTTTATTTCTTGAACAGCTGTCACTACAGAAATAATATAAAAAGCTAACGAAGTATTTGTAGAGAAAATACTACATCTACATACCTCCGAGTTTATGATTCTTAATTTTTTTAATAGCTAAGGAATGTCAAACAGTATTTAATCCTGCATTTGTCTCTTTATCACCTATCTTCTTCCTAGTCATCTACTTGAATACATCCTAGGTGTCAAAATGGAAAACCATCCAATCTTTACTTCTTCCCCTCTCTCATTTTTAGGGATTTTACCTACAAGAGAGGCAGAGAAAGTGAAAAATCACCTTGCAGAGGGATGGCCATGCCCTAGTCCTTTTTATTCCATTGTCCTCTCATGACTGTGTGCACACACACACACACAACATGCCCATCATGATTTCAAGCCACCAGTTCCAGACTCAGACTTTAATTGGCCTTAATTGGCCATGTGAGAGTTCAGTGCCTTAACCACTATGCCACCTGCTGGCCCTCATAGCTCTTCTCAAAAAAAAAAAAAATCTGTACTTCCAATTGCCTATTAATTATATACATCATTATATAACTATCCAAACTAATATTTTAATGTAATTGTAACATTTTTGTATCTTTCATGCATTTCTTTTTTTAAAAAAATTTCATGTTCTGTTCATTTTATGATCTTCATATATTAACACATTCATATTAACACATTAGTATATATATCAAAGGGCAGAAATATAAACATTCAATCTACTAGATAATTATGAAAAGAGAATGTGTATAATTTAGTTCATTTGAAATATTACAGAAAGCAAAAAACAATGAGAATGGTTATGTATTGCAACCAGTCTACTTTATTTAAATTTTTGAAGACTTTTATGTAATCTTATATGGCAAATCACTCTAGGTGGCCTCTTATTTTTTCAATTTAGACTTTATGTAAAAGACCCTGTGCATGACTCTCAGAACCATACAAAAACAGGATGCTTACCTAGATATACTTTTTTATTTCCTAACGTGTTCAATTTACAACTTTAGCATTTGATTCAAGGCTCTGCACAATATTGATTTCCCTTTAGTTTTCAGAAATGTATTCCAACATTTATCAGTTCCTTTGCACATTACTCACACAAGTTTTAACTCCTGATTCAAATACTTCACCAATACTATGTCTCCTCCTTTTTATGATTATTCAATTTACTCTACCCTTATCAAACTCTACTCACCTATTACTATTTATCTCTGGGTGACCATCTTGCAAGAAACACTCAGATTTTGTATAAATTATACTTCTCTTCTAAAATCCCAAGATACTTGGTTTGTAGTTTGCTGTCAATTTGCAAAAGGTCTTCTTTCATTAAAAATGCCAACTTTCCTAAAATGTAAAATAATTGAATGGGTTAATACTCTAAATGTGTCTCATTTTCCTCAGTGTGCTGGCTTATTTTTAAGCAGAATAAACACCAAAGGAATACATTTTAAAAAAACTATCACCTTTACTTTATTTTACTAAATTGTTTTCTTTTTTATTTTTCTTCTCTAAACTAGAAAAAAAAATTACTCTTATAACAAATGTTAAACATAAACAGCAATATAACATACATAGTATGATGTTTATCAAAAACAGACATCTATTTCAAAGAATACATGTTATTCCTTCACTGCTTACCCTCCTCCATTATTTAGTCAAGAAATGTCAGCATCTTTAGCAATTATATCATGCCTGTTTCTTTAATATAATACTGTAAAATATAGTTCCCAGAAATGTTAGGGGTTTTCTTAAGAAAGCTATTACTTATTTTTGTTTTCAATTTTTCTTCTGATATAGTCATCACATATTTATTTTTAAGAGGTTTTTGTCTTAGGGCACATGTGTTCACTGGAGAGACAGAGGGAAACAGAAACAGTGAGAGGGAAAATGAGAATCACCCTAAGGGAGTTTAGTCATGCACAATCCCTTTTCCCCCATTCTCCTCCTAGGATCTTGGGCAGGCACACACATGTGTCTGGTGTGATCATTAAGCCACTAGATCAGAGACTCAAATCATGGTCAGTCATGTGGGTGTCCAGCATCATAACTGCTATGCCATCTGCATATATATCTCTTTTTAAAATTTTATTTGTTCTTATGTGTTACATCCAATCACTGTATATCTTTAAAACATTGAAAATAAATTTTCCCAGCATGAATACACTGTATGTTAGTTCAGTCAAGGATATTACCATACACATTTTCATCAACAGATCATTTCCCATTTTTGTGTCCATTAAATACTTTCCTTTTTTAATCTTATCAATCTACATGAAAAATACATTTGATAATACACAGCATCCGTTCATGATTAAGACTCTCAGAAAACTGGCATAGAAGGGACTTTCCTCGACACAATAAAAGTATTATATGAAAAAACCCATATCTAACATTCATAGATAAATGGGAGAAAACATATTTTTTAATTCAACCCACTTACATTCATTTACCCATGAGAATCATTATTGAATTCCACATTTTGAACTGTGTACATTTGAGTATGATTGGACTCTTAATTCTCTATCATTTTTGAAAAATTGAATGATTCAGTCAGGAAAGCAAGTCACTCCTCTTATACACACACATACACATGCATATATTTACATAAATACAAACAAATCTGCCTCAGTGACATGTATCAATCAAAAGTTATGTCAGAAAAATTTTATCTTCAGTACCTTAACAAACTGCATAATTAGGAAGAATTTAACAAAGCTAAGCAAAAACATCTCAAAAATGCAATAAAACTATCTTTTCTTGGTTTTCTATGTATACATTTTTCTCTTTCTAAATGTATATTGTTCTAAAGTAAGACGACTATAAAAAATACTGTTTATCTCAAATCAAATCCCACTCTAAAATATTGAGTCCATTTAATATTATGT